GAAGCAGGGAAAGTGCAAGATAAGAATGGAAAATCTTCTTGTGCCAGAAAATAAGGAAATTCTGAGAGAATGATTGGAATATGTCAGAAGAATAAAAGAGCTGATATGGGGGGCACTTGGGTGGCTCAGTGGGTTAAGCCTCTGCCTTCAGCTCAGGTCATGATCTCAGGGTCCTGGGATAGAGCCCCACATCAGGCTCCCCCCTCTCTCTCTGCCTGCTTCTCGGCCTACTTGTCATTTCTCTCTCTGTCAAATAAATAAATAAAATCTTAAAAAAAAAAAAAAGGAACTGATATGAATGAACTCCCACTGGTCAAACTGGGGAAAACCTAAGCATTGAAATAAAATGGGAGTAAAAGATTTTAACCCACTGAATCAAACAGGAGTCAGTGGGTCTATAATGAAATAAATACATATATACACACATACACAGAGAAAGCTCTTTCTTACAGTACAATGTCAACTAATAAATGCAGACAGAATGACAGAGATAATTATCATTTGGCATTAGAGCGGTAGTTGATACACGCAGGAACTATCAGTGGAGGCTGGAGGTTTAACAAGGAATAGGACATTGGTGTGATGTCAGATTATCTCCCCCAAAACAGGAATCAAATACAAAAGGGAAACAGTGACTTTACAGTGGTAAAACCTGCCAGATATGATTAAGATGAACCTCATCTTGGGACAGGGCAACATAGTGTGCCTCCAAGTGATTCACGAGAACAGCACAGTAGGATTTCTCTGGCATTCCTGCCATGGATGCGTGGCCTGATTCTGGTCATGAGGAAACCACAGATAGAGCCGGGTTTAGGGTCATCTTAGAGAATAAAAGACCTGTGTTCTTTAAGGCTGTCAAGGACACAAGAGACAGAAAAACACTAAGAAACCATTCCAGACTGAAGGACATTAAGACCTGACAAGTAAAAGTGATGTGTGTTTGCAGGTAGGACTCTTGTCGAGTAAGTTTTGAAAAAGAGCCATTAAGACAGATGACAAAATCTGAATGGCGTCTGTGAGATGGATAGTAAGATGTCAGTGTTTATTTCCTGAATGGAAGGGGACATGGTAGTAACACAGGAGTATCCTTGCTTTGCAAGAGGGGATACATACTGTGGTATTTAAAGATAATGGGTCAACACATCTCTCTTTCTCACGCTAATGAAAGAGAAATGAGGTAAATGCAATAAAATTTAACAGGGAACCTCTGTGAAGGGTATGCAACTGTTTTCTTTAGTTTTGAAAGTAGTTCAAAATTTAAACATCTAAATAAAAAATATGTGTGGGGTGCCTAGATGGCTCAGTCGGTTAAGTGTCTGCCTTCAACACAGGTCATGATCCCAGGGTCCTGGAACCAAGCCCTGCATTGGGCTCCCTGCTCACTAGGGAGCCTGCTTCTCCCTCTCCCTGCTGCTCTGGCTCCTTGTGCATGCTCTCTCTCTGGCAAATAAATAAATACAACCTTTAAAAATAAATAAATAAATAAATGTCCAACTCTTGATTTCAGCTGAGGTTGTGATCTCCAGGTTGTGAGATCAAGCCCCATGTCAAGACCCACATCAGGCTCTGTGCTCAGCGCGGAGTCTGCTTGTCCCTCTCCCTCCCCCGACTTGCACTCCTATGTGCACTCTTGCTCTCTCTCAAATAAATAAGTAAAATCTTTAAAAAAATAATAATAATAAGTCTGCAAAATCTTTTTGGTAACTTGAAATATTGATGTTTACTAAGATAAGTTAAATGATGGGTATTTGTTGACTAGCTAGATCACTTCCAAATAAAATAAAATACTGAAACATTAATTACTGAACATAGGTTTATTGGCTTTTGCTCAGCGGGGAGTCTGCTGGAAATTCTCTCAACTTCTCCCTCTGCCCATCCCCATTCACGTGTGTTCTGACTCTTTTCTAAAAAAATAAAATTTTTAAAAATGTATGTGTATATACATCTGTATACGTGGATGTATTTGTATATCTCCATAATCCAACCACTGCCATTACCTCCACTGACACCACTGCAATTCTCTTGGATTGCTATAGTAGCCTCCAAATGTTCTCCCTGCTTCCGCCCTTGCCTGTCCTTCAGTCTATTTTCAACAGAGCAGCTAAAGTGAGACTATAAAAACACAGGATATTATTGGGAATCAGGATTTTCACAGAAAAGAAATGTAACCCAGCAGTGAATGCTTTGTCCAGTCGGGTGTTCCTGGATTCCCTAGACATAAGTTCTCCCAAAAAACCTCTATCTCAGGAAAAAAAAAAAAAGAGAGAGAGAAAAAGAAAAAAAATGTAAGCATATAATGTGAGAAGGTGAGAAAGAGCCCTGTGGTACTGGCTTTGACCTGTAGGTATTAGTATGAATTCATGCTGTTTAAAAATACCTATTTCCTCGTTCTCGGGAAGTAAATGATGAAATGTTTAGGAGTTTCGTATTATCTGTAGCCTACTTTCAGATGATGAAAGAGGAGGGAAGTATGGGTAATACTGAATGGGGCAGAATGCTAACAGTTGGTCAATCTAGATGAGGGAAATACAGGGTATCCCGGAGTGATCTTTTCATTCGCTGAGGTTTTTTAACAAAAACCTCGGTGGTTTAAAAACAACTGAAAGTAGGTTAGTAATGTGTATCTACCGAACATTCGGGGCTGGTCCCCTCTAAAGCCTCTCTAAAGTCCACTGTCTAGTCCGACGTCCTCTTTGCCAGTCTCACGTAACCAATATTTAGATGTCCCTTTGCAGTAGTAAACTATGGGAGCTATTACTTTTAACTTTCTCAGCAAGCTTTCCCACCCAACCTTGACCATGTATTCATTTACTTCCTCTCAGTTTAGTAAGATGAGAAATGGCCACCAGGTTTACCAAAATGGAAGTGAGTGGTGACCTTCGAGCCCCTTTGGTGGAGGGCTGGATTCCGGCTGCTCCATGACAA